TTGGCCAGCGTGCACATCGTCCCAATTTGCAAGCCCATACTCGAAAGAGTCGCTGGTTGTAATTCTATGATCACTGATACTTCTATACGTAGCTTGACTGGAACGAGACCCGACCGCCCTTATGACTATAGAGCCGCAAGCCTTGATCTATTCTATCTTCTGCTTTGTCTGCTGCACCTTGGCCTTGAGCTGTTCAACCGCCGCTTTGGCTGCATCTGTCGTCGAAGTATCCTTTGATCCTTTCGCAATGAACTGCTCCTCGATCACGTCAAACACTCGGTCGACGACGGTTTCTGAAGAGATCGGAGAGAGTCGTCAGTGTCAAGCCTGCGAATCATTCAGCGCTGCGTAACGCCTAGCACTCGACATTACGCACCGACTGGATGATCGAACACGAAAGGCTGCGGCGGTGCAAGACGAGTTCAGCATCTGTATTGTGTCGCGAGAGCCCTTCGCTCAAGTTCGACCAAACTCACCAAGGCTGGAACGAAGGCGAGACCGGCGATGGTAGGCCCTGCACCTCTGACCCTCTTGGATGCGCTCCGAGCAAAGATGGGAGCCGAGTATCGCACGACCTGCACACAACGGCGGCGTTAGCTCGAGTTCGTTTCCAATGCCAGCTGCCAGGCCGCTCTCGATCAGACTTACACTGTGGATTGTGAAAGCCGCTGGAGATGACGTTGATGTCAGAGCCGAGTAGTTGAAATGTGAGTGGTCTATATGTGTGGCCGTTGCGATTCGACTACTCACGAAGTGCCATACTGTGCGGGCGTCGATCAGACAGGGACTGGTCCGTCAGCTGTGAACGTCTAGGTGCTCCTACCCCACCATCTCTCGGACGCTATCTTCCTACATGTGCACCACTCTCACCTCGCAATGCTCTGAAACACGGCCCTCCTCGCCATTACTAGTCCAACGTGGCTGAAATCACTGTGCCCAGCAGCGTGTTTCTCCAGGCTTCCATCGTGACTCCTCCTTAGCTCCACTCTTTGGCCCGAGTCACCGACGATCTGTTTGAGCTTGTCCGTTCCTACATTCATAGCCTCCTTTGCCTTATCCTCCACCCTTGTAGCTATGCCAGCCGTGTCGTGCTCGTGTTGCTGATGCGCCTTGTAGCCAGCATAGCCGACGTCTCCCACCAAGTAAGCCCAGCTGATGCCGTAGCATGCTCTTACGAATACGGGCGATGTCAGAGGTCTGAACGCTTCGCCAATGTCGGAAGTGTAGGCAACGTAACGAGAGGTGGAAGTGATCAGGGTTCTAAGACGCATGGCGTAGGCTGCATA